GTTTTGTCACTAATCAGTGTATGGTCTATGCCACTTCACAGTTTAGGTACCACCCCTGTTTTTTTCCTTCTTTTATTATTGTTGTTCTCATTCTTATTACAAATGAGGGGAAGGGAAGGTGCAAATTCCTAGCCCTCTATGCATGTCTTGCTGAGCAGACCCGTAGACAACTAGATATCTTGCAAATTTTCTGATATTTCCATGAATACCCACTCTCAGATGCACAAAAGAGGGAAAATAGACTCGGTGCTTTTTAGCAAGATTCATGCTTCAAAGAAAAAAAAAAAAAAAGAAAAGCAACGTACCTCAGCAGTTCTGCAGCATCTTCAGCACTGGGATTAGTAGCAGCTGCCACACGCCTGCCTTCACCTTGTGCCTTGCTGGAAACTGATGATGTTGGAGGCTGAGTGCCTTCAATATCACTTCTTACCCAGTCACGGATCCCAACTAGCTGAGCTTTGGCCTCCATCACAGCACCTATTAAAACAAATATAAGCTGAGCTAATCTTATTTATTGGTAGCCAAGGGAGATGATATGATGCTGCTTAATAGAGTTTGATGACTTGAGTTTGAGGACTACACCCAGTCTGTAAAAAAAAGATAATTTCCTGAAGAGAAGTTCGGAAGAGTGCTTGTTATAAGAGACCAAACGTTGACACATGACAATAAAGCCATTCATACCTCCATAAGACGAACCTAAAATACCAGAAGACCCAAAATTAATAATTAACCCATTTCTCGTTTACTTTGCTGGTAGCATCTCGTAGTGATTATTCTTTATTTTAGAAAAAAAATTAAATGTATTGCATAAGCACCATGGAATTGCAACTTGCATACAAATATTTACATGTTTAGCAAAGTATCTACTAGATCCCCAAGATCCCTCACTAGAGTATATTGGTTGCCTCTTAATAAAAAAACTTATGACCTAAAACCAATAAATTTTAAATATGTCAAGGGAAGATCCACATCTCTCAAAAGCTCTCCAATTTTTCTCCTTCCAAATGCCCAAAAAGCAGGTAGAAGGATGAGCCAAAGGAATCTCTTTTTTTTTTTGTTTGAAATAAAAAGGATAACGTGTATTCATTAATTACAGGCACCAAGGGGTTGCCAACCCATTTACGAAGGATATTTACACATCTACAAGGACTTCAATAAATTTACCAAAATCCTCCATAGAGAATTAAAAATTATCGGTAACCAAACATTCTAAAATTCGGTACCATCTATCCCTAACCCTATCAAAATTCTCCTCCATCCCTTTAAAAGTCCTTTTATTTCTTTCTTTCCACAACACCTAAAAAATTGTAAGAGAAATGAGATCCAAATATTTTTTTTCTACCACTCACCCACTTTCATGCCCATAACTCATCCCTCACACTACCAGCTATTGTCCAATTAACATCGAAAATCCCATACACCATATTCCATAACTTAGTGGCAAGAGATGAGGATGTGGGATCCGATATTGACTAGGTTTGAGAAGAGATTAGAGGGCTGGAAGAGACACTCATCAAAAGCATGCTGGGCAACTTACCCATTTACTACATGTCCCTTATGACTATTACGATGAGTGGTGCAAAGAAATTGTAAGTTATTCAACGCAAATTCCTATGGAGTGATTCGGAGGAAATAAGAAGATATCATTTCATAGATGGGAGGAGATCAAGAAGCCAATTCCCCAATGAGGATAAGATTTCTTGTGGAGGTTTATGAAAGACAAGGGTATCTTGTAGAGAAGGGTAATAGAAGTAAAGTTTGGTGCATATGAGAAAGGATGGTACACCAGAACATTGTTAAGACCGCAAGGGAAAGGTTTGTGGAAAAAGATTTGTACGGATAGAGACAGATTCAAGTCCTGTATTAAATGGAAGGCTAGCAAGGGTGATAGAATCAGTTTTTGGCAAGAACCCATAGCTGGATGGTGAAGCCTTCGGAGATCAATACCCAGAAATTTTTGCCATAACATAACAGAGTTCTGTTCGGTCAGCTCCTTCTACAAGTATCTGACAAAGCAAGAAAACCCTAGTACCAAGTTTCCTTTCAGCCAGATATGAAAGGTTAAAGCTCCTCCAAGAGTTGCTTACTTTGCGTGCAAGGTTTGAAGGGGATACATTCTGACTATTGACAAATTTATGAGTAGGGGAATGATTATGGTGAACAATTGTTACTTCTGTAAAAGTGTTGGAGAAACATGTAATCATGTTCTTCTATAGTGTCCGGTAGCTGTTTATGGTTTACTGGGTATCAATTGGGTGACGACAGATTCGATCAAAGATGAACTCTGCACGTGGAAGAGTATCAATCGGCAGAGGAAATTTGTGAACTTTAAACCACTCGCCATTTTCTGGGTGATACAGGATGAGAGGAATGAAAATGCTTTTGAGGGAGTTGATGATGTGGGGAATTTTGAAAGGATTATAAACAGATGGTTCCAAACCCTTGACTTTTCAAATTCGAGTCACTTTCTATATTCTATGAAAGATTTGGGAGTCGTTGTTGACATCTTGGTAGATATATAAATAATCTGGATTCGGGTTGGCATCCCTTTGTGCCTATTAATATGATTTATGTTTTGTATTTAAAAAAAATGGTAACTTCATATACACAGTTATCATATAGGAATTTGGTACCTGTGGGTAAATCTTTTTTCTCTCCGCGACCACGATGCCTCCTTTGCCGATGATCCGCAACTCTATCTGCTGCCTGGGATTCGACCTCGACGCAGTTATTTAGAAACGTGGGAGGTCCTGAAATCTCCAGAAACCACAACAGAACCGACAGGGCAAGCAATAATCCCGTTAAGATTAAAAGTTATCACCAACACATAATTCACAAAAGAGATTAAATGTTTGAATGCCTTAATTGGTCGATTACAAGGTTCTTTCTGTACTGAATCGAACCAAAACGGAAGAGCCCCGACAACTGGAACCTATAAACCCGTTAATCCAATTGAGAGGGAGTACCTGGGAGAAAGCGTCGAATGCGGAGGGAAGTCCGGAGTCATTGGAGGATGACTTATAGAGGTCAAAGGCAGAAGATTTGTAGCTGGGGATGGCAGCGGCAGGGGAGGGATTATCTCCGTTTTCGTAGTCGTCTGAAAGCTCATCGTATGCCGCTACCGTTTCTTCCTCTTCTTCTTCAGTGGAAGAATAGCCTTGGAGCAGCGACAGGCTCATTGCTTCTTCCTCCTTCCCTGGTAAAGAGTGCGTTTCTGAGATGCACTTCGTGGATGACCAGGATTTGGCTTTGGTCAAGTCTGGTTAGGCACTGCGTGTTTTACTTCAAAAATGATTGATTTTAACAGTTCGGGAACTGTAAATATATATTATATATATAGACATAATTTTTTTTAAATTTACGTGGTAATTATTTAATTTTATGAAAATATTATTTTTAAATTATTTATTATTTTTGTTTATTTATATAAAAAAATGTGTGTTTAACTATATAATTATTAATGTATACATTTTACATGGTTTATATTCAATTGATAATAACCTCAATAAATATTTATAATAATAATAATAATCCAAATAAAATTTCATAATTAATAATTTTTTTAATTTACGTAACTTATTTATTTGTATAAAAAATTTTTTTATTCGACTGTATAATTATCAGCGTATATATATAATAATATTGTTTTATAAAATAAAGTTTAATGTCATATAATTTATTATTATTTAAATATTTCTATATATAAAGAATAATAACGTTTGTTTAAATATTATCTTTTGAAAGTTATTTGAATTTCCAAAAAGTAAATTGTATTAAAAAGGAAATTAAAAATCAAGATGATTAATTGATTTTTTTTCCTTTTCATTTTGCCATTAATGATATTTATTTATCTAATAAGAAAAATATCTTTCCTCAATAATCCCTTTTTTTAACACAATTTAATTTCTTTATATGGAAATTTGACCATGCTCTATATCAACGTGGACCCGCTGACCAACTTTGCCCCTTCATTCTTGTATCCCATATATATATATATATATATATAAAAACACGTACAATATAATAATGGTATGCAATAATATGTTGTACCTTACAATTATGGTACTACACAGTAATGCAATGCCCGTGCGAGTAAAAGTATGTGAAAAGTTCTACGTCTGGAAGTATCTCCTTCGTCGTCCTCCTCCTGTCTCCTCGGGCAGCTTCTCGTTGTTGCCGACTCTCAATTGGCTCAACCGTTCATAAGAGGAGGTTGAAAGGTTGGTGCCGCTGCGGTGCTCGACGATGGAGCGCATCATTAACAATCTTAAGAGCTTGGACGCGTACCCTAAAATTAACGAGGATTTTTACAACCGTACACTCTCCGGTGGCGTCATCACCCTCGTTTCGTCTCTTGTCATGTTCATTCTCTTCGTATCCGAATTCAGTATGTTCTTTTTTTTTTCCCTCTTTCTCGTGTCAATTTTTGAATTTTGTTTTTCTTACTCAGGTTTTGTTAACTTTTGTTTACGTATCGTTTTACGTGTATGCATATAGATATGTATATGATGTGTGTGTTTGTGTGTATGCGTGTGTATGGACTGTATATAAGGTGATCATATAGAAGGGAATTTCTCTGTTGCTTGGCGATTTGGGTTTTGGCAGTAGAGGAGGGTCGCAGTGGGATTTGGATACTAGAGAAGTTGGTAGGTCGGTATATTGCTCTGTGAAAGGGATCCTTTTTGGTAGACACGCAATTTTCTTTAGTTTACCTGTTGAGCAAAACCCTGTAAACCTAAAGTTGATTTATACTGAGCAAAAGTCCTTAATTTACTACTGTTGTAATTTCCCTTTAGTTCGTTAATGAGATAACTTTTCATGATTGACTTACAGAGTTGAGCATTCGGCATTGTCGATTTGAATGGAGCTTTTTACCAGCTATTTCTTCTATTGAGCTTTTGTACGTCTTCGTTGAGTGCCAACACTATAGATTCTTGGAAGCTTTCCTTGCGTTAATCAAGAGCTAGGATATGGGAGTTGGTGAAATTGGAGTGTTGACGCAGGATAAAATTTTTGTTAGTAAATATCATGCAGGCAACACTATATTATCCTTCTTAAAGAAAAATTCAATGTAACATAACTGATTATGATGTACACCTTAATTGTACTCTATAAGTGCAAATGCAATAAATTATTCCCCACATATCTAATTTTGGTAGTCACAAGGAACATTGACAAAGCGCACACAGACATTGGTGACTTGAGTTTAGCTGTAATTTGGTTAATAAATGAAAATTCTTTGATTATGATAGATGCATTACAAGCTTTCTTCTCGCAAAAACAGAAAAAAGAGATTCAAATGTTTGATCAGTGTTGCACATTTTTCAGCATATATGTGCTGTGAGCAGTTGAACTTGGCTCGATTTGAAAACTAGTAGTCATTGTGGTTATTTGGGGACGTTGACTGAACAGTTTTACTAGATCCCTTCAGAAAGTTCCTTTCTGGTTTTTGCAATAGTGCCTAGTCACGTGTTTCCCAATTCATGGTCTATATCTAAGCTTCATCATCTGCTCAATCTTCTCAAACAAACCCCCCCCTCTCCAATTGTTAGAGCCATGGCATCCCATAACTTTTTTCAATTTTTATTTCACTTGATTTTTATTTATTGTCTTAAATAAAAAAGCTATAGCTGCACTAAACCATCTTCATGTTCCTTAATGCAAACAACTTCTAACTATTTAGTAATTGTCCATGGCTCATATGCAAGATATTTTGCACTTGGGCATTTAATATGTAGCTGGTTCTGCCATGTTCAGTGAATGTAATTTGACTTGGTTCCCTGAAATCTATATTTGGCAAATAATATTGTTTTACTTCTCTCGGTATATTGTTTGGAAAGGTACTTCGGATAGGATATGCTATTATTTTTTTTTAAAGACATATAAAGACAGTATTAGCCATTTGGTTAGTCAAGAGCTGCAGAGTTTGTGAAAATAGCTCAATACCATTTATCTTTTTCCCCAAATCTGCAATAGAGCATATTTGAGATATCCCTTTAATGTCCTTGAGTTTGTGGTTGCTTTTCTGGCAGACTACTGATTATAGGTCTACTCTTGTGTTTTTTGTCCATATTCTTTGACGTCAAAGTGTGGTTTTGATGAAGAATGGAGGTTCAACTTGTGGTTCTATGTTCACCAGCCATGGGGAGAACTAACCAACCCATTCTCTTCTTAAGATAGGGTTCAACCGTTGGAAGTTATCAGATCCCTGGTTGGATAGATTGCAAGTTCTTCCAACCTTAGTCTGAATTGGCTTTATAATGTGTAAATTAATGATCAAAGATCAGGGAGACAGAAAAGGAAAATCAATGAACATTGTGAGGAACTACAAAGAGGACAGAAAGGGTAGATGCAATCATATATTTGCCATTATGCTTTGCTCACTGTTGTTAATGTTGTTGTTTGTCAAAGTTATATGTCACTATACAAGTGTTGCAACTCATGTAGAGATAATCTAGGAACTTATCATCTTTTATCAAGGTTTAAAATATTAATAACTGAATCTTGGGTTCTTCAATAATTATATTTGTGGTTCTCATACACTAATATGTGTCTTTTGGCAGGATTGTACCTGCACACTATCACTGAGACAAAGCTTTTAGTGGATACTTCAAGAGGGGAAAAACTGCGCATCAACGTAATAATTAGTGCTTTTTATGGTTTTCCTGAAAATCTTTTTTTTTCCCCCTAAAATAAGAAGAGAAATATTATTAAGGATAGGAGAAGAAAAAATATGATGCTGAGGATAATATATCCTCCAAACCTTTTACATTGTGAAGGCTAAGAACATTTACTAAAACAACAAAGATCACAAACTCAGTGCACTATCGCTCCTCAGTTTCTGTGACACAAGAACAGAATGTTAGTAAACTGTCCATCAGTCTTAACCCATAAGAAGGCTAGAGATTTCATTTGTTCCCATAGGAGCTGACAAGGGAGGACTCGATCTTAAAAAAATTCTGTTATTCCACCCCTAGCCACAGCTCCCTTAAACCTGCAATCATTGAACTTCTCCAGATTATTTTAGCTTTTTTCAACCCCGCACGGTAAGAGGAAGAAGCAGTCCGATGAAGGAGGGACAATGACACCAGCTCAAGGATACCAAACAACCTGGTCCACTGCTTCCAAGGCATAGCATTGTGAAGGAATAGATGTTCATGGGTCTTCCTGTTCTTAAAACAAACAACACAAATATTTGGTGAAAGAACCTTATAAGACCTACAAAATTGCAACAACTGCTTACTGTTAAGTCTATTGAAAACAATAGTTCCAGCAAAACACTTAAGCTCTGAAGGGACTTTTGCTTTCCGAAATGCATTGGTAAATGAAGTATTTAGCAGTAAGAGTTATGGGTAATATGACCAAATAAACATTTACATGTAAAAGTTCTGGAGGGGTCTAATTTCCAAATCTTTTCATTTGGATAGTGAGAATAGAAGAGAGAAAACTTTTAAAGAGAGAAAGTTCTAGAGTGAGAAAGAGCAGGCAAGCGATTTCCTCGGGTTGTGGTAGGTTGAAGGGGGGCGGACGGTAGAAAGGAAAAGTAGGTGGAGAAGGAGTGACGATAAACAAAGAGGAAGACTAGGTCGACCGCTCAGGCTAACTAGATAGGGGAGGAGAATATGGTGGTGCAGAGAAGGAAGTTCCTGGTAACTGAGAATAAATCATTTGACGTGGTTTGTGAGGGGAGGAAAATGGAAGGTTTGAGGATTACTGAAAATGGGAGAGGGTTCCGAGTCTCGATATCTTTAGAGGAAGAGGATGTGGTTTGGCTATTAGATGCTTTAGAGGACTTATAACGGAGGAAGGGAGGTAAGACATGGGGAAAGCATACGATAGGAAGAAACAAACTCTGGGTGGCGCTTGGGCGAAACTGGAATGGGAGATACCTGGTGTTAACAGAGAAGAGAGGGAGGGGCAGTGAAGAGAATATTTATCTTGGAAGGAGAAAAAACAAGAGACTGGTGGAAGGTGATGAATTCGGTGTTTGAGCTAGTGGACTGCCCACTGATGAACCCGAATAGTAGGAAGAGGTAGGTGGTAGTTGGAGGAGAAGATGTGAAGGAAGAGGGGAAGGGTATCACACAGACAAAGAGAATTATTAAGTGCCCACACTACAAGGTGAATCTTTTGGATTATTGTGGAGGTGGTCGCGGAGAAGTTGTTTGTGGAGGTGGTCCAAAGCATAAGAGAAGTGTTGAATCGAGTAGGGCAGATAGGACCCCTGAAGGATGTGAGTCGGGTCAATTTTGAATTTCAAAATGAGGAGTAGGACCATCGCATGGGATTTTACCAAGACGCACGAAGTGGTAGTCATTTTGGGGATGAAGGATTGGGTTGGGAATTATTAGGCCAAGAAGCTTGGGCAAAGGTTGGCTGATTGGAGGCATGAG